ATGGCATCTAACAACAAACAACCATAGAGCGAGAATTTTACGACATCGGAAAACATCACATCAAAATAAAAGAAGAGATGAGGAGAATATTATGAAGGAGGAAGCGTTACCTTTCTCTGAGCAGCGACTAGGACAACGAGCCTGAGAGGGGCGATTCCTTTACCACGAGCTTGGAATACAAACGGCAAGCTAAGGAAATTCAAGCGTCGATATTCTCGAAACTTACAATCAGAAAGTTAGATATAAATTTTTAAGTGTAGAAGTGATTATTGCCTTGGAAAAATTCCCAAAATTCCTCCCTCTGCTTTTCTTCCAAGCTTTTCCCAATAATTTTTCTTTAACACAAAATTTTCCAAACTAAAGAAATTCTCCTTTTTCAAAAAATCCCCCTCCTTTTCTAATGAACATGAAAATATGTTATATAAGGGGAAATTAGGGTTGATATTAGGGGAAAACAGATAGAAATTGGGGCCAACTCAAATTTCAAACGTCAAATTTTTTTCACCATTAGAGGCAAACATACTTTTCTGAGATCTTCAACCCCATTTCGGAAGAGGAAATGGGGACAGCTGTGTGCTGCTGCTACTGTACTGCAATATTAATAATCGAAAGGGATGTTGAAAAAGAAACAAAAATCGCAGTGGACTGTTCTGCGTACTGATGCTTCTCCGTCTATCTCTGTGTATTGGAATTGATTGGGGTTGGATGTTAACGTTGGAGGATTTTCTGGGTTTCTTCGTGAACATTGAAGGGACTAAGGAGTATTGGGGCTGACTGTTGTTGTTAACGTGGGGATGGGCCGGGTTAAAGGGGGAATTGGGTAGGGTCGTTTGGTACTGCAGTTGTATGTATGTAATGTGTGTGGGTATTGCATTGTTGTACGTAGGAATGGGCTGGATTATTTGAGGGAAATATTGGCCCATTTTTGGCCTTTTAATACAAGTTGAAAAACTTGGTAAAGAAGTGGCTACAATTGCATTACAAAGACTTAGCCGATTCGAACTTATTTAGAATAGATTTGGCTAGTAATTAAATAGGACGAATTGATATTAATTAGTTAACAAGCTTCTTAATTTTAATGACATAAGATAATTAATTTAAATATAAAATAATTAATTTAGCTACAAATTAATTAACTCGATATTATGACTATAATCTAAACCGAATTAAATTAACAAAACATTTAACTTAAAATGAGAAATATTTTGAGACGATGTTCAAATATTTATAAAATATACTAATTACATACACAATTATATGAAATGTATTTATTACTTAGAAATTATAAAAACCCATCGAAATTACTTGAAATAACCTTAAAAAATATTTGAATTTTATAAAGCTAATTATTCTAAATCGTTTGAAAATCAAGAAGCTCGGAAATAAATTATTATCGAGAAGGGTCCAAATTGGGTGTCAACAAACGCTGATACATTAATCTGATGTGCGAGATACATTAATCGTTAAGTAAGATACATTACATTTTATACATGATACACTAATCTGATGCGCGAGATACAATAATATAAGCGTGCTGATACATTAATCTGATGCGCGAGATACACTAATCTGATGCGCGAAAATGAGGGATTTTGGAGATTTGTAAAACTTATAGGGGATAATGGTAATAAGTAAACTAAAAGGTAGGATTTCTGTAATTTTTCCAATAAATTATGACATTCACCCACTAACCACCAACTAAATAAATAAATTATTACGAAAATTGTATATAATAGCAAATTATTAATTCAAATTAAATGTTATAACCATAATTTGATTTAATTGTACCCTGTAGCAAACTGTTGTTATTTCGCCTCTCTCCTGGTGAGTCTCGCTCGCCACTCTCGTTCTCGCTGGGCAGTCTCCCTCGCCTCTCTCGCTTTTATACAAATACAAATGTATAAAATGCGTTTGTGTTTGTATAAAGCGAGAGAAAATTGTATTTATACATATATTTTCGTTCCCCTCTCTCCCCTCTCCCAGATTTCGCTCGCCTCTCTCACTTTATACAAACACAAATGTATACATTCGATTGTGTTTGTATAAAGCGATAGAAAATTGTATATACAAATACAAATGCATATATTTTTGTCCTATACTCTTATGATTATACAAATACGATCTTCCACTGCCCAATTTTTTTTTGTCTTTCTCTCTTTCTTGCATTATACAAACACAAATTATACAATTGATCTTTTGTATATGTATACTGAAACAGATTATACAATTGCTTTCTTTTGTATATGTATAGCGAAATATATACATATTTATGTTTGCTATAGAGCGCAATTATGCAAACTTTAGCTATAACATACAGTTATGATTTTTATGTTTGCTATATGTGAAAGTTGCTCTAAATTATTTAATATATGGTCAATTTAATAACCGTAGTTATCGAATATTTTAAAATTCTCAAACCAACTTCACCGACTGATCATAAATGACTCAGGACAACTATCGGAAGAGATAAAACTATAATTTTATAAACAAATTTCAGAAATGATCATTACAGACAACTAATCATATATTTTGTAAGCTTTACTGTATCTTGAACACACTTAGCTCCTATATCTGTATTTTGATCATTTTGGTCTCCTAATATCCACTTAGGCGTAAGTGAGTTGACTTCAATATAGATCTACAGATTTCAATATGTTTTTTTTAGACATTTTATAATTCTTATAAGCAAAGTATGGCTCAATAGGCATCAGATTTCAATATGTTTTTTTGAGAGAGAATGGTTTAAACCCCCGCCCCCAACCTATACTCGAAATCCCAACTACACCCTCCAACTTTACGGGTGTCCTATTACCCACCTGAACTTTATATTTCTCTATTTTCTACACACCTAAGTACTGACCTCAACACATAAACCAAATAATTAGGCCTGCGTGGTTCCACGCGTTGGGTCCCGCTCCTCTTCAACTCCAATTTCTTGTTTTTCTCCCATTCCCTCCTAAAACGTAAAAGAACAAAAAAAAATCCTCCTTTCTCATTTTCAATCCTTCTCCATTAGCAATGCATTTCTGGTGATCATCAAACAAATTTGCTATCATCGAACGATTTTGTTGTGTATTGTCAACTTCATTTCATAGTTTAACAACTGATTTAGTAAAAGGTTAGTTCTTTATCCCTTATTTCGAGTTTGTGATTTATCCCCTAGGGTTTCTATTGATTCGTGAAATTAAGAGCAACATTGTGTGAAATCTTATGTGTGGCTTACGATTATAGTGTTAGGTGTTCATTTACACCATATTATGCCACATTTTTTATGAAATTAGGTTTTTCCCTTTCTCGTCTAAGTCGCGTAATTTTGTATTATGTTCGTCTTAGTATTATGTTCATGGAGTGTTGTATTTATGTTCTTCTTAGTATTATGCTCATAGAGAAGCTGCTAGTATGTTACTGTGTTGTATTTATGTTCATAGATTATGTTCATAGAGAAGCTAAGTACTATGTTGTATTATGTTCGTTTGCTAATATGTTGTATTCTGTTCGTTTTTAAGTACTATTCTATTTTTTGGATTGCCCTCAGGTTAGAGTATGTCTATAATTACTATTCTATTTTTTTTATTACCTTCAGGTAAGAGATGAATGGGTTTACTTTGATTACTCTAAAGTGGTACCATGGTGGGGTGTTAGATTTAAGTAGTGGGAACCAATATATAATGGTGGAAAAGTTACAGAATTTTTGGATGTTGATGTAGATAAAATGTCATATTTTGAGTTGAATGACTGTATTAGAGAATTGGGATATAGTACAACTTGCACCTTTAGTATTAAAGCACCTAACAGTGGCATTTTGGTAGATGTTGATAATGATAAAGATATTTTAGACATGATGTGTTCCTTGGAAGATGGGGATGAAGTGGAGGTATTGTTAGGCATTTGGTTGATGAGGCAATTGTGGGACCCATGTTAATAGAAAATGGTTGTCATGTGGATATGGGAGAATCTGGTTCAGCTTTTATTACAAGGCCAACTGAGAGTGAAAACTTTAACTTTGGGGTAGGTGAAGACCATTTAAATAGTGAGGACCCTATTGCTACTTTTTCAACCTCACCTCCTTTCACTACCACACCTCTTTTTAATACTGCTACTGCAAATGGTGCTACTGATGATGATATAGATGTTGGTCCTGCTGGACCTGATTTCTCAGAAGAAGAAGTAGAGGGTTCTGATTATTCAACTGAGGATGGTGTTGAGTCTAAAGCTGAATTAGTTGGAGATGATGATGAGGAAGAGTATGGTAGTGATGTACATGAGGAGGTTAGGGAGTTGAGGGCTGAAAAGAGAAGTTTTCAAAGGAGGAAAAGAAGGGAAAGAGTAGCAGCTGACAATGAAGAGGTACCAGTAGGTGAAGCTGGACCAGATCTAGGTTTTGATGAAACTGAAACAGGTAAAGTAAGTCATAAAGGAAGGCTAGGAGGTGATAAGCCTTACTTTGCAAGTTCTGATGAGGATAGTTTTGAGTTAGATGAAGATGAGTGTTGTAATGATGATGAACATGAATTTGGTAGATCAAGAAGGGTAAAGTTGTCAAGAAAGAGGAGTTCAAAAACTCAAAAAATCATTCATGATCCTACTGCAAAGAAAGTTGTGTGGCAGTTGGGCATGGTGTTTAAAGATGTGAAAGAATTTAGACAAGCACTAACTAAATATGCAGTTAGAAGAAGGGTCAGGTGGAGAAGTGGGTGAATGAGCCAAAGAAAGTTAGAGTTAGATGCAAAGATGATTGTCCATGGCTTTTGTTTGGATGTCTTGACAAGACAACAAATAATTTCATGAAAAAAACTTACAATCCAAAGCATACTTGCAACAAGACAACTAGAAATTACTTGTGCAATGCAAAGTTTTTATCTGAAGCCTTCAGAGAAAGAATAACTGAGCAACCAAACATAAGAGTCTTCAAGTTGCAGGAGATGATTAGAAAAAAGTTAAAACTTCATGTTGGCAAGACTATTGTGAGAAGAGCAAGAGCTAAAGTATTGAAAGATATAATGGGTGATCATGTTGTGGAATTTGGAAGAATACTTGACTACAAGGATGAATTGTTGAGGACCAATCCAGGGACCAGTTGTGTTGTAAAAGTTGGTGAACCTGATGCAGAAGGCAAGTCAATATTTCAGAGTTTTTACATCTGTTTTGATGCTTTAAAGAAGACATGGATACATTGTATGAAGTGCATAGGCTTAGATGGTTGTTTCCTTAAAGGTGTTTGTAAAGGCCAACTGTTAGTTGTTGTGGCCAGGGATGATAACAATCAAATGTTGCCACTTGCTTGGGCAGTAGTTGAAAAGGAGAACAAACACACATGGACCATGTTTGTCAAGTGCATAAGGGATGATCTGGGGCTTGGAGATGGTGAAGGTCTCACCTTGATTACAGATATGCAAAAGGTATGTGAAGTTATTTTGTAATTTTCAATTTATATATGTAATTGTGACATAATCATCATTATTGCAGGGAATGTTTGTAGCAATTACAAATGTATTACCTAAGTGTGAACATAGAATGTGTGCTAGGCACATATTAGCTAACTGGGCTAAGGATTGGAGAGGTCTTCAAAGAAGACAACAATTTTGGAAGATAGCTAAGAGTACATTTAAGTCTCAATTAAGGAACAATATAGAGAAGATGAAGTTGTTAGGTCCAGAAAAAATGATGGATAACTTAATGTACTACAACATTAATTTTTGGTGCAAAGTTTACTTCAACACTGAAGTAAAGTGTGACTCTGTAGACAACAACATGTCTGAGTGTTTTAATGCATGGATCTTGGCTGCTAGACACAAGACCATCATTACTATGCTTGAAGAAATAAGACTGAATATGATGACAAGAATAGCCAAATTAAGGGAGTTCCCAAGTACTTGGAAGTGTAATTTCTCTCCAATGGCTCTGAAGGTTTTAGAGGAGAACATTAGTAGGTCTATAGACTGTACCATTGAGTTTAATGGAGCTGTTGGATTTGAAGTGAAAGAAGGGCTTTGTCAACACAAAGTGGATATTGCTAGGAGAACTTGTAGTTGTAGGGTGTGGCAGTTAAGGGGCATACCATGTGCACATCTTGTGGCTGCATTATACTTTAAGAAGTTTTCTCTTTATGACTATATAGACAGCTGCTACAGTAAGGAAACTTACTTGAGGATTTATGCCAATGTTATTGAACCACTCACAAACATGGAGATGTTGCCAGTTTCTACAAACCCCACTATTGAGCCACCAGAAATCACAAATATGCCTGGTAGGCCACCGAAGGCTAGAAGGAAAGAAGCGGAAGAAACTAAGAAATCTGGGAAGCTTCCTAGGACTGGACTTGCAATGACATGCAGTATATGCCATGTCAAAGGCCATAACAAGAGAGGGTGTCCTCAAAGAGAAGGTGTTGAATCATCAACAAGACAAAGTGCACCATCACCTACATCAGTAAGGGCAGAACAACAGGTTCAGGCAGGGGAAGAGGCAAACCAAAGGTAATATTTGAACTTGTTTTACTTTTTTCTTAATTTATGACTTACTTTTTCTCTTATATGTATAGAAAACTCCATCAGCACCATTAGAAGGTGAGCCTCCACTAATAAAGGGAAGAGGAAGACCAAAAAAAACATCATTAGTAGCACCTAGTGCACTTCCCCTACCTACTGCACCTACTGATGTTCCTGCATCCTCTTCTGCTCCTCCTACTTATCATGCATCATCTTCAATAGCTGGTACTACTAAAAGAGGAAGAGGTAGGGGCAGGGGAAACACATCTCCAGAGAAAAGACCAAGAGTCATGGGAATGGGTGTGTTCCAAGCTGCAAATGGCTTCAAAGTCATGAATGTGAGTCTTTGATATATGCTAACAACTTAAATATTGAATTATAATCCTAATTTTGTTTAATTAAACAGTTTAAATATTGATATAATCCTAATTTTAATATAACCTGGCATGCCAAGTAGTAAGATCTACTCTACTGGACAAGCAAAAGTGACAAGATCATCTGATGTAACTGGTGACATTGGTTATACACCAAGTAATACAACTAAGCTGAAATGGAATGGTAAAGCAGCAAACTCAACAAGCAAGTTTCATGAGCTTAGAGAAAAGCAAGGAAAGAAGACAATGGGAAGTAGTTCAAGTCAAAATGACACTTCTTCACAGTCAAAGATGCCATGGAAATTGTAGTGATGTTGATGTATTTTAGAACTTTTAAGTTAGTCCATACATGTTGCATTAATGGCCTGCTATTTTGAATTTTGTTTGTTGGTAAATTTTGCCTTATGTGAGGGCTTTTGAATATGACATTATTTAGGTAAATTCTGCCTTATGTGAGGCCTTGTAAATATGACTTTATTTTGGTAAATTCTGCCTTATGAAATGAATGGTGATGTTGTGTTTTAAAATGGTTGTTGTGTTGTCTATCGAATTGTATTGGCTATTCAGGTGTGCTTACATATGTTGTGTTGGTTATGTGTTTTACAAATGGTGTTGTGTTGTCTATGTTGAAGTATGAATGGATGACTAGGTTGTTGGTTGTTGATGAAGTGTCGTTTAACAAGCTTCAATTGACATCATAGATACAAAATGACACACATACATTGACAATTTTAATTAAACATAACAACAATACAAATCAAAGAGAAATACAAATATGCAGCACTTGAACTACTGGTTGTTGATGAACATAGCAACAACACAAATTAAAATACACAAAGTATCTTCCTATTGAACCTACACCATTTCAACCTTCTATTGAGTCTCCTCTCCAATAACAAATTAGAGTTCCTCAAGTTGTCAATATGAACCTGTCTAATACATAATTCTTGCTCCAACTCATTGATTTTGTTCACCAATCTTGGAAGGATAAAACTTGATCTTGGATCCACTTCTTCTTTGTCCCTCCATCGAAAAAATTTGCAATTTTTAGACATGAAAATGATCCAAAACAGTACATTAGCATCGTTCAAAATAAAGTGTAGCAAGAATACAAGAAAAAACACATACAGCATAGCATGGGCAAGACCAAAATCTTCTTCCCGGATTTAATTTCGACCAAGAAGTTTGCAAATCAGCAAAATTTCGTGTTTGCATCTCACTGCAGCGTTGAGAATTGGGTCTGATTCATCCATACAAAGTTTATTCAAGTTTTCATTTGCCATTTTTGATGAATTTTGAGAAAATTCAAAATTCAAATTAGAGACCTAAATAAGAAATTAGAGCATATTACAAACCCTAAATTCAAGATTTGAAGTAGAAATGAACATTAACAACTAAACCCTACTTAATTTTGAGAGAAAATTGTGATTTTTTTATAAAAGGAACAAGGGTTAATGGTGGGGAAGAAGAAATAATGGTTTATTTAAAGGTGGGGAAGATGACCGTTGGAGAAGGAGGAGTTTTTCGTCAAAATTAACCTTCTAACGCGCCTAGAGGAGGTGAGAACACCTCCCATGACAGGTCAGCACTTCGGTGTGTAGAAAATAGAGAAATATAAAGTTCAGGTGGGTAATAGGACACCCGTAAAGTTGGAGTGTGTAGTTGGGATTTCGGGTATAGGTTGGGTGGGGGGGGGGGGGGGGGTTTAGACCATTTTCTCTGCTTTTTTTTAGACATTTTATAATTCTTATAAGCAAAGTATAGCTCAATAGACATCCACGATGCTATTTCTTTGAAGGTAAAACTACAATTTTAATTCTTTTGTTTTATAGGCGACAAGATACGTCAAAGCCCCTAGGCAAGTCATGATATAGTTTATGGGTGTCGCAATCACATAATTTCTATTCCAAAATAATTATAAAGCTGTCAATATAACCATGAAATACTAAGTAGCTAACTATAAAGTTTTTTTAAGGCATCTACAAGGGTAACAAATCATCAATAGCCAATTAAGCGATGACAATTTATAAGAAAACAAATTCTTATGTTGCTTTTAACATGTGGAAACAGCTAAACAAGACTAATCTCGATAGCTTAAAAATAGATGGTTAAGAGAATCGATATATGAGTACGACACATGACATTGAAGATGAATAATGAAGACGAAGAGGAGAAGGATAATTGGTGGTATTTGAAACTCCAGAAGAAAATATCAATGGATCTCCATGATTCACTGATCTGGAAATTTATAAAATTGTAAAAGTTGTTGGAAGTTGAAAAGAATTTCAAAACATTTAATTGATATAGGAAGATGAATAGTCATTCTAGAGTGTTGATATGCTGCAATAAGCGGCAATGACAAGAAAATTAATCCACCGTTTATAGATACATGATTAATTGCTGTAAAACTTTAATTTTTCCAAACATAAGATAAGCGAAAAATAAAAAAAAATGATATGAAGAGTTTCTTAATTAATGATATATGTAGGATATTTAAATAATAAGATTCTTTTAATATTTTGATTTAATATATATATATATATTAAGCGGAAACTTTTTTTTAAGACCAAAACACTTTATGAAACTTTGTCTAATTTAATTTCCTCTTCACTGAAGTCCTTTTACCTTTCCCTATTCCAATTCAAACAAAGTTGGTAATTACATTTTTTTTTCAATTTCTTTTCCATTGCCTAATACGGCGGCCTGTTTTCACACTTTTATTGTTTTATGATTTATTTGTCTTTTAATTTTGAAGCTTTTTCTTTCTTTCTTAATTCTCCAATTCAAAAAAATTTGGGAAATCCTAACGACATTGATAAATCAAATACATTTTTGATAACACCATGAACCAACTCAAAGGCTAAATAATGGTAATAAAGCTAGCATCGAAAAAGAAGAGTTTTTCGCACTAAACAAAAAGTTGAGTTGGAAGAGGAAAGCATCAATAAAAGAAGTCCTGCATAAATAAGGAGACATGATAAGTCAAGTTGTAAAAGGAAAAGGTATTGCAATTGAAAGAATTAATTAAAATAGTTTCCTAGCACAACAAGAACTTCTCCCCATATACATGTTGGATTCAAATAAAGTTCAGAATCTATAAAAGGACAACGAGACAGAAAGAAGAAGTCGTCTTTGCATAATTCAAAAGAGAGAGAGAGAGAATCATACTGAAGGCCAAAGTGTTCGAGAAGTAGAAACGAAAGAATTCTAGAGTTAGAATTATTTTCGAATAGTTGAGTAGCATTTATCTGTCCTTGGATCAGTGTTTGTGAGAGTTTTGAGAGTTTGTAAGAATTATAAACAAGAAGTGGGTTTGACTTCTTGGGCGATAGAGTTAGAAGAGAGATTGAGAGTTTTTGTAACCAAGAAGCGAGTTTGACTTCTTGAGAGTTGAGGGTGTTTTCGATTATAGTTAATCGAAAGGGTAGACGTTTAGAGTTAGATTCGTCCATTTACTGAGTTGTAATTGTTGAATTAATATAAAACTCTGTGTGGTTTTTCTCTTCCTTGAGTTAGGAAGGTTTCCACGATATATTGGTGTTACTATTCATTAACATAAGTATTTTGTGTGTATTATTCAAGAATCTGGTTCTTGAATACCGGGTACTGTTTCTTCAATTGGTATCAGAACAGGTTTTTTCATTAAAATATTCACATCTTGAAAATAATCAATGGCAGCACCACCTATCCCACAAGAAGGAGCTTCTCAAACTCGACCACCACTGTTCAATGGAAAGTACTATGGATGGTGGAAAAATCGTATGATAGATCACTTGATAGGCGAAAATCCCGATCTTTGGAGCATAGTTATGGATGGCCCTACTATACCCATGAAGAAGAAAGACGATGGAGTCACGTTGGTACCAAAGGAAAGAAAAGAATGGAATGTTGCAGACAAACTTGCCATTCAAAATAACGCCAAATCTAAAAGGATCCTAATTTGCGGCATAGGATCGGACAAGTATCATAGGATTTCATCATGTGAGGATGCAAAGTCGATTTGAGAAACTCTACAAACTGCACATGAAGGAACAACTCAGGTCAAAAAATCTAAAATCAATAACTTGAACAGACAATATGAAATGTTTAGAATCATGGAAGGAGAAACAATCCAAGATATGCACACCAGGTTCACTGCAATCATCAATGAGATCTACTCTTTAAGAGAAGTAATTCCAAATGGAAAGGCTGTCGAAAAACTCTTAAGTGTTCTACCAGAGTCATGGGAAAGTAAAGTAGAGGTCATCACTGAAGCACGTGATCTAGATAAACTGGCCATGGATGAGCTCATAGGAAATCTCATAACATATGAACTAAAGAAAAACCAAGAGAGAGAAATAGGCAGTAAAAGAAAGGAGAAGAACCTAGTTCTTAAAGCCACAACACCTGAAGATTTTGAAGATGAGAATATTGCACTTATGACAAAGAGGTTCTCCAGAATGTTAAAAAGGAGGACAAACGTTTCAAAGAAAAGGTCCTCAAATGACAGCCGAAAACTCAAGAGAGCAACTATGTCATAAATGTGGAAGTTCAAATCACTTTATTAAATTTTGTCCACTCTGGGACTTAGAAATAAAAAGAATAATCCAGACAAAACAAAGGACGGTAAAGGTGACAAGATATATTCCTCCAAACAGGAGAATGACCAACCAATAGGCTGATCTCTCAATGAAGAAAGCATTTGCTGCAATGGGAGGCATGTCGGAAGATAAGTCTGAAGACGAGGAAACTGAAAATCAATCCCTACTTGCAATAGAGCGAACTGACAAATATGACTTTCTTGCACTAGTAGCCATAACTGAACTAGGAGAAAAAGAAAATAGTAGCCAGACACAGGAAACAATTTAGGCACTAATGGCTGGATCAGAAGAAGAAGAAGAGGACAAGCAGGACCAGGTTAGTCTACTTCACATTAAAGAAAATCTTGACTCTTACTCAAAAAGAAAACTAGAATCCTTATTGAACACTCTTATAAA